GTTTCTTGTTCTTTTTTGGCTAGTAAGATTTTGATCAAAGGACTAATTCATTTATTACTAAAAATTAAACACACCTTTTTAACCTTCAATTCTTAATCTTTATTTATTTATTTTTACATAGTGCTGAGGATTGAACCCAGGTCCTCACACRTGCTAGGCGAGCGCTCTACCATTGAGCCACAACCCCAGCCCTCAATTCTTGATCTTGTRTAAGAAATTCTACATTGGATTAGTTATGTTCCACCCAGCCATGAAAGCATCACAAGGAATTTTTAGAGAAAAGACTAGATCCCAAAAGTTTACAATGGATAGGCCATAAGGTCCCTGATATTCTTTACTAATTAATTAATTTTATTATTCAAAATAAACACAATTTGAATGATTTTCGCTGAGATGTATTTACACACTGACGCTCAATCAATATTTTTTTAGTCCTAGCTATGTGACCACGGGCAAATTATTTWACCTCTCTAGAGCTTTGGATTCTTTACTTACGAAATAGAAACAATAAGTTAACAACCTCGTAGAGTTTAGAAGGTTAAATAATACCTATAAAGAGCTTAGATATTGCCTACCACTTAATATATGTTCAATAAATGTTAGCTAAAGATGTTTATAGATTTGTGAATTTTTCTTCAGCTGAATTCGATAATCCTGGCAGTTAATTTTGTAGGCAATAATTCCCCATTAAAATACTCTGGAAAATGTTTACCATCAATTAAATTAAATAATAATCAAGTTAATTATAATTTATACTGAACCATTACATATATGAATACTAAACTTTACTACCGAGAATAAAAAAATTTACTGTATTTTATAAAATTGATTTGAGTAAATCTTGCCCCTTGAGAATCAAAGACCATTTATTTATCTATCTATCTATTTATTGGTACAGGAGATTGAACCCAAGGGTACTTTGCCATGAGCTACATCCCTAGTCCTTTTATATTCTTATTTATTTATTTTATTATTACTTTATTTATTTACATACTGGGGATTGAATGCAGGGACATTTTGTCACTGAGCTACATCCCCAGCCCTTTTTTATTTTTTATTTGAGACAGGTTGCAGAGGACTTTGCTAAGTTGCTGAGGCTGGCTTTAAACTTGCAATCCTTCTACCTCAGCCTCMTGAGCCACTGTGATTACAGGCATGTGCTATTGTACCCAGCTCCAACATCTATTTGTTAAAAAGTTAGGTTTATATGCTGAAAAAAGGACAATATCAAGTTGATAAACAAGTCTCTGCATTTAATAAAATCAAACATTTATTTTATAATGTGGATGATACCCTGCTAAATTTTATAAATACRTAAGAGAAAACACATATTAAAGTTTTCTAGATAAAACAGATAAGATCACCTAATTATAATTTTTGAAAAGAATCAACTTGGTACCTTTCATGGCCTCTTCAAAAGAGCAAGGTCTTGCTGGACTAGATATTTCTTTCTTCACATTTACATTCAAAGCACCAGCTGCTGCAATTAAAAAAAAAGAAGTTCATGTATTTAAAGTAAATTCAGCTTAACAAATGTGTATCTTAGAATTCTTTAATTGGAATATTTTCTCACAGAGCATCCTAGTGAGGACAGCATATGATCACTTATCAAAACAAAACAGCAATTTTTAAGAACACTTCTTGGAGTGGAAGCAACTCAGGAAGTTGAGACMAAAGGACTGCAAGCTTAAGGCCAGTCTGAGCAATTTAGCAAGATCCTGTCTCAAAATAAAAAATAATAGACATTTAAAACTTACTAAATAATATTAGAATATTAACAATACTCAGCTCCATATAAAAATAAAATAAAGATATTGTGTCCATCTATAATTAAAAAAATAAATATTAAAAAGCAGAATGAGGGATGAGGATTGCAAGTTCAAAGCTAGCCTCAGTAATCTAGTGATGCCCTAACAAACTTAGTAAGATCCTGTCACTAAAAAAATTCAAAAGGGGGCTGGGGCTGGCACTCAGTGGTAGAGTGTTCCACCGGCACACATGAGGCACTGGGTTTGATCCTCAGCACCACATAAAATATAAAATAAAGGTATTGTGTCCATCTATAACTAAAAAAATACATACAAAAAAAAAATAAAAAAGAGCTGGGGATGTGGTTTTGTGGTTAAGCACCCCTGGGTTTAATTGCTAGTAACAAATAGAATAAAAAGAAAACTTATTTAAAAAATATAGTCAATATTTAAGTTTGATTAAAACAACTGAACAAATTAAATCCACAATATTATGATTATTCTTTTTTGTAACACTTCCTACAAAAAAAAATTTGCTAGTATTAATGAAGACCTTCGGGATTACAATTCTTAGTCATATCAATTAATCTACTATCACAACTTTAAATTTAATAAGCCTGAGAATAGAAATCAGTTCTAAATGAGAAAACTAAATAAATACGTTCTTCTTCTTCTTCTTTTTTTTTTTTTTTTTTTTTGTGTGTGTGGTGCTAGGGATTGAACCCAGGGGCCTTGTGCATGTGAGGCAAGCACTCTACCAACTGAGCCATATGCCCAGCCCCTAATAAATAGGTTCTTGCTTCAAATAACCATATATTAATTTTATTCAAATATATTTTATTCACTAAATCCAATATAAGATTTGAGTCAGTTAACTTTTAAGGTATTTTAGTTTTTTGTTTGTTCGTTTGTTTTTGCTAATGGGGATTGAACTCAGGGGTGTTATACCACTGAGGTACATCCACAGCCCTTTTTATTTTGAGACAAAATCATTTAAGTTGCTTAAGTTGCTTAGGGCCTCACTAAATTGCTGAGGCTAGTCTTAAACTTGTGATTCTTCTGCCTCAGCCTCCCAAGTTGCTGAGATTACAAGTGTGTACCACCATGCCCAGCTAATGCATATTCTTTTTTTTTTTTTAACATTTATTTATTTTATTTTATTTTTTGGCGGACACAACATCTTTGTATGTGGTGCTAAGGATCGAACCTGGGTCGCACGCATGCCAGGAGAGCGTGCTACCGCTTGAGCCACATCCCCAGCCCCGCTAATGCATATTCTTGACATGACAATGTCAAATGATAGTTAATAAATAAGGAGACAAAATTGCACACATCTAAAAAATGGAATTTAATAATTTATCATAGTATGCTGCATAGTAAGTGTAACAAAGTGTAACTGAGCACTTTTAGGCACTCAAAAAGAAATACAATTTCTCTGTGTGACACTAATTTTAATAATTAAATTATTTTAATAATTAAAGATTTAAAAACTGGAAAAACTTAAAAATTTCTACTTTTAMATTATTAGTAATTTGTTTTTAGGGCAGCAAAAAAATGAGCTGGGTACAGAGGCACACACCTCTAATCCTAGCAATTCAGCAGGGGCTGAGTGAGGCAAGAGGATTGAAAGTTTGAAGCCAGTCTTGGTAATTTAGAAAGGCTCTGTCTCAAAATAAACAATAAAAATAGAGGGTTGGGGATGCAGTTCAGTAATAAAGCACTCTGGATTCAATCCCAGTTTTAAAAAAATTTTTATATATATATAAATGAGCTAGGCAAGTACTCTACCACTGAGCTAAGGTTAGTGAAATTATGAAAAATTTTAAAATTATATCATAAAGGTAGAAACGGAGGCATTAGATCTCATTACAATGTTTGTGTACCATGTATTGAATAAGATTTTCTAAGAGTGACTGCTATCTGTGATGTATATCCAAAGGGTATAAATTTTCAAGAACAAACATATGGTAATGATTACCTAAGTATGGCCAAATACAGGCCATTAGAGCATTTTTTAAAGCAAAAGACATAAAGCTTATTTGGTAATCTATCAAAGAAAAACTCCTAATAGTCAGCACTCATCACTAAGAAATTAGGATTCTTTTTTTTTTTTTTTTTGGTGGTGCTGGGGATTGAACCAAGGCATTGTACATGGGAGGCAAGCACTCTACCAACTGAGCTATATCCCCAGCACCAAAATCAAGATTCTTGAAGGTGATGCTCAATACTTCAAAGTCTTGAAGTTTTTTATAACTAATAAATATAAAACCAATAAATTGGGGCTGGAGATGTGGCTCAAGCAGTAGCATGCTCACCTGGCATGCGCGCGGGTTGGGGGGGGGCGCTGGGTTCGATCCTCAGCACCACATAAAAATAAAATAATAAAGATGTTGTGTCCATGAAAAACTAAAAAATAAATATTAAAAATTCTCTCTCACTCTCTTAAAAAAAAAAAAAACAATAAATGACAACAACCAGATTTCAGTGTTTTCAGGATAGCAAAAACCATTAATACTATTTATTCTTTGGCACACACAGCACTCTCTCTTCCCCCATAACTGATGTAGAAGCTCATCAGGAAACAGATCCTAATATGTTAATTATGTCATCTTTTCCCTCATATTTGTGCATTCTTCTGTAAAATATTACATATCAGTATTTCATAACTAGCAGTTACTGAAGTACCTTAACTATATTAATTTTAAATCACATGTTTTGGATTTTTAGGCCTTCTGAGAAAACAAAAACAAATATTTGGACTCTTACTATAAAGCAATCTTCTTTCTCCTCTTATTTTTGTTGAAGCCAAAATATTATTTCCAAACCATGCCTTTTTGGTTCAAAGTTTTTACTTATGACCTTTAGTTCTGAGAAAAATAGCAAGGGGAGTTTCATTAGTGCTATACACTGTGGCATGCCTTTGTAGCAAACTCACTGTAAATAACCAATACTGCAAAATTCAGACATAATTAAAAATAGGGAATTAGATGAATTAATTACCAAGACTAATTATAACTCTATTAGCTTCCATTTCCCTCATTTTTCTTTTTCTTTTTTTGAGATGAGAATCTCACTGTGTTGCCCAGGCTGGCCTTGAATTCCTAGATTCAAGCAATCCTTCTGTCTTAGCTCCCAAGTAGGTATATGCACCGCTGCACCTAGATTTGTTTCCCTTATTTTTTGATGCCAGGGCTTTCTTTCCAAATCACTTTTCTTCAACTTCTTCTATCTTACTGGGTCCTGAACTATTTTGGGGAAACATATTAATAAACTACAGATATGGAGGGCTGATAATTATTAAGTATGCCTGAGACTGGAATAAACTGAATTAATAGTAGCCATGGTAGAAACCAAGCCTCAGTCAATGGAACAAAGGAAGAGTTTCCATTTCTAAAATATTTTCCTTACTTCTAGCAGAAGGCTTTTGTCTTCTTCAGGCAACTAAATTAATGCAGGCAAACAACTTACAAGATAATTTTTAGCAAAAAACCATCAAACTTTTAACMTTTTAATTATTCTTGTCACTAATTTCTTTCTAAACCATCTTATTTTGCCTAAATATTTAAAATCATATTTAAAATATTCACCACCAGTCTCTGAAACTTTTTGACTTTATCACATATTACTCCAAGCATATTCCTCACCTCTCTCAAAAATGTACCTTAAGCTGGGCACAGTGGTGCACACCAGTATCCTGGGGATTTGGGAGGTTGAGACCAGAGGATCACAAGTTTGAGGCTAGCTTTAGCAACTTAGCAAGGCCCTAAGCAACTTAGTAAGATTCTGCCTCAAAAAAAAAGACTGGGAATGTAGCTCAGTGGTAAAGCATCAGGTTTAAACCCCAGTACCAAAACAAAACAAAAAAGACTAGGTAAGAGAAAAAAAAAAAAACAAAAAACAAAACACCATAAGAAGGTTGGAGTGTATACCTCAGTGGTAGAACATGTGCTTAGTATGCAGAAGACTCTAAGATCAATCCTCAGCAAGGCACAAACAAACAAACAGAAACCCTATAACTAGCCAACTTAAACTATTAAGTAATTTCCCAAAACTGTCACTTACCTTCCCGCATATAAGAAGTACCAAAAAATGGTCATCCTTATTAAGTAGTGACCTGTAAAGTAGCTCAGGAGAATCTGATCTCAGAGCATTCCTGGCTTTTATTATTATAAAAGGTAAAAATGATCCTGCTAACATAGAAGTTGTATTCGATGGCTATCTTTTTAGGAAATAAAGCCATCTCCAAAATAAATTCACCTTAATTTGTCACAGAGAACAACTTTTTCTCTTTTCTTGGCTGGTCTTCTTATCTTTTTAAAGAGCTAGAAATTAATTATTCATTTTTATTCAGAATTTTTCTTTTTGACATACCTGGATCTGGAGTGTAGGTGAATGGCTGAACATCATGGGATCTTCCAGCATTGGTCACTACATATATCCCCACCGATACCGGCAAAGTTATATGTTGGTCATGATATGGGGGAACCTTCACAATAAGATGGTTCTAATTTAAAGAAAAATACAATAGTCAGAAAAAAAAACAATATTTAAATTTAGAAGACTAAATATATTTCCTATTAGCTTTAAAGTTTTAAAAGTCTGATTAGGAAAAAAAATGTATTTTTAACCTCAGGTTGATAGGTACTACTAGTCATTAGTCGAAGATATCCTTAAGGTAGAAATCAAAATGTTTTACAATGGCTTTCAAGGTCCCTGCTCTGTCAACTTCATCTCACTCCCACTTCCCCCCTGCCTTACTACAAACTGACTTTCTCAGTCCACTCTTTTAACATACTAAACTCAGTTTTATCTTCCAATTGCTGTTCTCATCAACTGTAATATTCTTCCTTCACCCCCTCAAATGGCAAGTTCTTCACAGATTTTCAAATCTGATATAAATGTCACCTCTTAAGTGAAATCTTCCTTTGACTATCCTGTTTAAAGCAGAACCCCTTCTGAACTTGGTCAGATAATTATTTATTTCCATATCAGCACTTATTGGCACTTGAAATTACCCTAATCCCCTGCCCACTCCACTTTTGGTCTCTCTCCAATAAATGTGAGCTCCATGAGGTTCCAGACTGCTCAGATACTTCAATGTATCTCCTCTGTTAAGAATGGCACCGGGCTGGGATTGTGGCTTAGTGGTAGAGTGCTCGCCTAGCATGGGCGGGACCAGGGTTCAATCCTCAGCACCACATAAAAAAAATAAAGGCATTGTTTTGTGTCCATCTACACTTAAAAAAAAAAATTAAAAAAAAAAGAATGGCACCATATTCAAAATACACTCAAATATACTTGTTGAACATTAGAGCAAATTATGAGGAAAAAAGTATGTCCATGAAATGCAAAGTCAGTTATCATGTGTTCTGTACAACCTCAATGAGATGTACTTCATAATGCAGTTCATTCCTCCCTACCACATACTCTTTTAAAATTAAATGGTTCAGTTTATTCAARCTTCAGTAAATAAGATACTTTTAGTTAGAATATATACATCTTTATAAGAAGAGGGCAGAGCTGGGGCTGTAGCTCAGTGGCAGAACACTTGCCTAGCATGTGTGAGGCACTGGGTTCGATCCTCAGTATCACATAAAAATAAACAAATAAAATAAAGGCATGCTATCCATCTACAACCTCAAAAAGAAATCGAAAAAGAAAAAGAAAAGTTCATATGTGTTTCATCAGCATTTACTCAAGGGGGTTACACTTTCTTGGAAGATAATATGAACCACATTTGAACTTTTTCTCTTTTTCCCTAGTAAATTATAGTAATGGGAAGTAACACTAGGAAGGAAGTGATTATGCTTTTACTTATGATCTGACATGGAAGAGGCCAAAGCCAATAGCTCAGGGTGTGGTAAATTTGACATTTCTTTTTTTGGGGGGTGGGGAAGTAGCAGGGATTGAAGGGGAACTCAACCACAGAGCCATATCCCTAGGCTTTTTTTTTTTTTGTATTTTAGAGATAGGGTCTCACTGAGTTGCTTAGCATTTTGCTGTTGCTAAGGCTAGCTTTGAACTTGTGATCCTCTTGCCTCAGCCTCCTGAGCTGCTGGGATTATAGGCATGCTTATTTCAGTTAGAATATAGCTGATGTTCATTARAATATGGGACAGCCAGGCATAGGGGCACACCTATAATCTCAGGGACTTGGGAGTCTGWGGCTGAAGGATCAAAAGTTCTAGGCGAGACTTGGCAACTTAGCCAGATCTTGTCTCGAATCAAAATAAAAGAGGGCTGAAATGTAGTTCAGTGGTAAAGTATCCCTGGGTTCATTGCCCAGTACCTATCCCCTCCACACACATAAAAGAAAAAAGGACAAATGAGGTCAAGTTTCAATTTCTGAGCACTTAATTTGTATCTTAAAATACTCTCTAAAATAAACTAACATTAAAAGGAATCAGAAAGAACAAATGAAAGAAAGAGCAAGCTCCCTTTCTAATAGAATACCTCATAATTTAGCCATCCTGAAAGAAACCACACGTTTTTAAAATCAGGTTGAAAAACATGTGGTGTAAATGTGTATGCATCCTCAACTATTTGGGGAGGAGGATCTGAATGAATGTTTGGTCATCAAAAATATTCCAGTAATGATTCGACTGATAAGAAATAGAAGTCTACTTAGATACTACAATCACGTCAAAGAAGCAGTCCTCCTAGATTTACAAAATAACTGAGTGGTTGACTTGCCAAGCACTCTTCCACATCTAAATTATATGGCAAACTATATTTCAAATTATCCTTCTGAACAAAAAAACTGTTTCTTAGTAATTAATAGTGGGATTAGTATTTAAAATTCAGATGCATATTTTATCAAAATACTTCTACCCTACTTGTTTCAGAGAGCATGTTTAAGCAAACCTAATTTGAAACTTTTAAAACCAAATGAACTTTTTGCCCCCCAAATGAACCTCTCGACACTAATTCTTCATACTTCCTCAATCTGAATCTAGAAACTCTACAATCCATTTGAAATAAAACAAGGTAAATGTGAACAGTAATCAAAAGTTGTTTAACACTGCTTTCTTAAATTAGGTGCAATTAACTACCACTGAGCTAAGAATACAATATATACAAAATATCCAAAGGTATGGGAGATTTTATAGCAAGTATAACATTCTCTGGGGAAAAAGAGGGAAATGTTCGAATTTCAGTATCTTAATAAAAATCTGCTTGGATTCAAAATAACTATTTTTCCCACTTACAGAAAATCTTTTTTGAGGTATACAAGCAACAGGGCTATATATTTTTCACTTTCCTGTGAAATAATTTATCATTGCCAAATTCATTTCACAGCTGGGGATATATGTAATTGGATTGGAAGAAAGACACTTTGTAAGATTTCTATTACAGCCAATTAGAAATACCTATTTTCTAAACACTCAAGTCTTTGTTTAGACTAGTTTTCTTATAAATTCCCCTGAGAATCTTCTTCTAGCATTTCTTTCAAGAATTTCTTATTTATTTTAGTCTTTTGGGTATCTGGGATTGAACTCAGGAACACTCAATCACTGAGCCACATCCCCAGCCCTATTATGTATTTTATTTAGAGACAGAGTCTTACTGAGTTGCTTAGTGCCTCGTTTTTGCTGAGGTTGGCTTTGAACTTGCCATCCTCCAACCTCAGCATCTCCTGTCACTTGGATTACAAGTGAGTGCTGCTGCACCCATCTCTGATTGATTGATTGATTGATTGATTGTCCCGGGCATTGAGCCCAGCAGCTCAGGAGGTTGAAACAGGACGATCTCGAGTTCAAAGCCAGCCTCAGCAACTTAGTGAGGCCCTAAGCAACTTGGCCAGATCCTGTCTCTAAAAACATATAAAAACAAAAGGGCTGGGGATGTGGCTCATGGTTAAACAATCCTGGGTTCAATCCCTGACACCAAAAAAGAAAATCTGATAATGACAGATCATATTATAGTTTGTTGTTTACATACTTGCTTGCAAAAATATCAGACCTCCTACATTTAGCCACCAAATAAATACATAATTCCTTTGCATTCTATCACGTCTTACTTCTATGATTATTTTTCTTTAAATCTATTGTATCTGCCCTAAATGCCCTGTTTAAAAAAAGTATTTTAAAATAACTACCCATGCCCTCAAAGGGAAAGAAAGAAGAAAGGAAAGGAAGGAAAACCAAGGAAGGAAGGAAGGAAAGAAGAGAAAAGAGGGAGAAGGGAAGGACCAGGAAGGAAAGGAAGGTAGGGAGAAATAATGACCTGTTAATATAAAGTTCTACATTAAATAGCAAATTAAGATTAAAATTTATTGGGGGCCTGGAGGGGAGATGGGAATGGGAAAGACAGTAGAATGACTGGACTTAATTTTCCTATATTCATATATGAATACATGACCACTGTAACTCCACATCACGTACAACCACAAAAATGGAAAGTTATACTCCATGTATGTATGATGTCAAAATACATTCTACTGTCATGTATAACTAAAAATAAAAAATAAAAAAAATTTAAAAATTTGTTGGGGCTATTTTATCATATAATACCAATGTTTATTAATATTATGTAGCATTTATAAGTCTTTCATTCTCTAGAACTTGTGTCTTATTTATAAATCTGTATTATAGGAATAATTATAATAGAGCATTACAAAAAAAATAGAGCATTACAAATAAGGGGAGTTACATTTTTTTTAATATTTATTTTTTAGTTGCAGTTGGACATAATATTTTTATTTCACTTATTCATTTTTATGTGGTGCTGAGGATTGAACCCAGGGTCTTGCACGTGCAAGGCGAGTGCTATACCGCTAAGCCACAACCCAGCCCTGGGAATTTACATTTACCTAATCAATTTGTTAAAGCAAAGTGTCACAAGCCTATAATCCCAGCCATTCAGGAGGCTAAAAGCAGGGGGATTCTGAGTATGAACACAAACTGGGCAATTCAGGAAGACTGTTTAAAAAAAAAAAAAAAACTGGCGGGGGAAGGAGGTAGAAATGTTGCTTAGGTAGATGGCCACTGGGTTCAATCCCCAGTATCACAAAAATAAAACAAATCAAAACAAGAACATAGTCACAGCATACAAAATATTCCAGGGATAAATTAATTTTCAGTTAGGATTAAAATTCTAGGTATATAAAAACATGACTGAAATTAGGATTTGAAATGTTTTCAGAACAAGGAGACCTTAGACCAGAGTCCTCTTTTCATCCAACAGGAATAAAATGAATGGAGAAGTTTTTCAAGAGTATCTTCCCCTCTACGCCAGTCAGTACTGGGGATTGAATCCAGGGGTACTGGATTCAATTTGATAGGAGTATCTTTAGGGCTTTGGCCACTGGACAAACTAACAATTGTGACTTATGATGAGCTCTCTGAAACATGCCATATCAGTTCTGACCTCTGATGGAACTGGAAACTACAGGTCAGGGCACAGTGAGCTACATCCCCAGTCCTTTTTATTTTGACACAGGGTCTCACTAAGTTACCCAGGCTGATCTCCAACTTGAGAACCTCCTGCCTCAGCCTCCTAAGTAGCTGGGATTAAAAACGGATGTCACTGCCTTTGGCTCATGATTGTCCATTAATCGGCTAGTATTATGAGGATTACAGAAAAGCCACACAACATTGCCCCCTAATCTTCAGGAGTACTCTCAAGGAAGCTACTGCTGGTTTACAGGGAATAGGGATGGTCTGATCAAGGAATATACCAGCACCACATACAAAGATGTTGTGCCCGCCGAAAACTAAAAAATAAATATTAAAAAAATTCTCTCACTCTCTCTCTCTGTCTCACTCTTTAAAAAAAAAAAAAAAAAGAAAGAAATCATAAAAATGTCAGGGTTAGAGCTCAATCTTGTGCAAGAGTTTATCTTGTAGACTAGACAACTGAGGCACAAAAGTGACTTTTCTTTTTTTTTTTGAGAGACAGAAAGAGAGAATTTTTTAATATTTATTTATTTTTCTAGTTTTCRGTGGACAAAATATTTTATTTTTATGTGGTGCTGAGGATCGAACCCAGAGCCCTGMGCATGCCAGGCGAGCGCGCTACCGCTTGAGCCACATCCCCAACCCTGACTTGTCTTTCTTAAATAACACAGATTGTTCATTACAAAACAGGTACTAGAACTTCAGTTAAGAGTAGTAAAGAACCCTAGGAGATACTGTGCAGTAGCATACGGGACAAAGGAATGACTTAAGTTCTACTTTTGCCAGTAGTATAAAGCTAAAGGAAAGCTTTCCACATGGCATTTGTCTGGTTATGTAGGAAGCTCCAGTTCTTGTAATACTCTGTAATAAAGAATTAACTGTACTCAAAGAAAAATCTGTTTTTTTGTCCTTGGTTATTGGGAGGTGATCTCTAGGAYCCTACAATTTGATAGGAGTATCTTTAGAGCTTTGGCCACTGGACAAACTAACAATTGTGACTTATGATGATGGGCTCTCTGAAACATGCCGTATCAGTTCTGACCTCTGACGGAACTGGAAACTACAGGTCAGGGCACAGGCAATATACAATCAAGTCCAAATAAAAACTCTGGACACTAAAAGCTTGGGTGAGCCTCCCTGGTTTGGCAGTTCTCTGCAAGTTGTCACTCACCGATGAACTAAGAGGAATACTTCCATAAAGATGACAGAAGCTTGGCTTTTAGCTCCCTCTTGCCCTCTGTGTCTCCCTTCAGTTGGTTCTGATTAGTATCCCTTTGTTGTAACAAATTTATAATCACATGCAATTTCTAGAGTTCTTTGAATTTTAGCAAATTATTCTATCTGAGGAGAAAGTGGGAAAACCTAAATTTTAAGCTAGCTATCCAAAGGGACAGTGACCTGGAGACTTCTAAACTTTTGGCTGATGTGTGAAGTAAGAGTAGCCTTGGCTATTCCCTTAGTCTTGAGTTTGGCAATATATTAAATTTAAAATGTTTTATATTTTTATTAGTTTTTTTAAATACACAAAGGAATAAAACAATATTTAAAAACCACAAAGAAATTACAAAGTTTTTGGATAAATTGGCTATAGTCTCCAATTCCTGTCTCTTCCACATCTCTGCTTGCTTCCATGTTCTCTTCTCTATTGCTATCAGTTCTATACTAAATTTTAAGCTTTGGGCATTTTACACTAATTAGCTTGTCCCTTCCTCTCTGTCCCCAATCTGTACCTATACACACTATTCTTCTGCATGAGCCATCTAACTAACTTGCTCATAGATTTAACCATTTCTTCTGTTAGTTTCAATTTCTATGAATTTGATACTATTTGCTCTACATACTAATTTTTAGGTTTCTGTACTTGTTTTCTAGCTGTTTTTCCTCTAATGAGGAAATAAATAATAAATAATTTTAGAGAGCAATGCATGGAAAGGTCCTACATATATGAATTCTATCCCCCTCAAAGACTTTTTAAAAAAATTTTTTTTAGTTGTAGATTTATTCATTTTTACTTGTGCTAAGGATTGATTGAACCCAGTGCCTCACAGGTGCTAGGCAAGTGCTCTACCACTAAGCCACAACCTCAGCCCCCCAAAGATTGTGATGACTGTGTCCAAATTTAAGGAAATAACTTTAACAAATATAAAGCACCTGACACATAAACAGGTACTTAATAAATATTGGTTTTCCTGTGATTTAACTATACTATAGGGTAAGATAATCCAAATCCTTAAAGAAAATACATTCCAGGAAAGAAATGCTTTATTTATTAACAATGGCAACCTCTGCTAATGCTCTTAAATTTTGAAAAGAGAGAACCAGTCATGTCTGGCATCAGAGGAATAATTCTATTTCAGTTAAGGAAACTCAAGAAAAAAAAATTTGAGTCACATCAATCCCATATAATGATGAAATTTAATCTGTTCAGAAATTATTTTCAGAACAAAACTGAACAGCTCAGAGTAAAACTTATAAAAAGGCTTAAATTATACCTGATGAAACAATTCCATGTCGATTTCAGCTTCTGATTTCCAAGAGTTTTCATCTGGTTGAAATAAAAAGAGTGACTTACTAAATTTTTGAACAACTGTTTTACTCTGTGGCTAAGATTGTATCTTTATAACAAAGTGAAAAATCTAACAATCTACTAATTTGCCTACTTACCAGAAACATTTTCTTGGAAAATAACTTTAGTTCCTTTCAGAAAGTTCTTGCCAATTAAAAACACTTCTTCCTCTCCTTTCACTGAACAGCTATGTAAGCTTTTTTTTAAGATCTCTGGCACTCCTGCTGGTTGAGCTGTGGGTATACATAAACATTCCATGAAAAGAACCATCAACATTTACTTCTTACCTAAAATCAACATGCAATTATATATTGAGTTCTAGAAGTTTTCTTTGTTCACCCTGAATTTAATGTCCTTTACTCTACAACTTACAGAGGACAGAGAAAAAAAAATTAGGAAATATATAAATTTCTAACAACTATTGGAAGATATTATAGAGCTAGATAAGTGCCTAAGATGAGGTTTTCATTTATTATATATCATCTTTGCTTTCTCATTTCATGAATGATGAACCTGATGATGTTTTTGYCTTAATAATATTTTTTAAAAATTATAAGCTTGTCCCAGTCTTAACCTTTAAATGTCAGCTGTACTATATCATTACATTATAGTATCTCTTGAGTAACAAGAGGTATGTGGGTGGTACTSAGAGTATATTAAAAGAACTAGGCACAGGACCCAGAGACCCCAAACCAAAAGAAAACCTAAAAACAGACTAAGCCCACTTTGGGATCAATCATTCTACCAGGATGGTTTTCCRAACCAGGAATCTTTGGATGAAAAAAAAGATGCACTTGTTTTTCAACTACAAAGATGAAATAACCACTACTAAAATTAACAAAGACGAGTACTGAGGAGCTAGAGATAATAAGAAAATTGCAATTAGCCTAACAAACTTCTTTGGCCAGGATTTCCCTAAGAAAGTGTGAGAAGTTGAGAGGGGAAATATGGAGTTAAGCAGAGCTAAACAAAAGGATATCTCTAAGCTTTTCATACTGTGATATGCTTATAAATATCCAAAGGTGTCCTTACTGACACCCATTAAGGACTAGCTGTCCAACCAATAGATACAAATAAGTTTCAAGTACTCAAGAAACTTCAGGTTATCAGAACCTGATTGAAAAAAAATCACACTGTCACAGATTACATTACTTGCTGTTTTAGCAAATCTTTACAACATATGTGTTGCAAAGTCAAACAAATATTGCTCATCTAACTTGTTAATGTATAAATTAATGAGACTTTTCACTATCTTTGGAAAATTCAACTTCAGTTCTTAAGATATTTACATATTTTATTAATAGTTAATTTTCTTTTTATAATAACATAACGAGAAAAGTTGTGTTATTGTACAAATGTTTACTGTTCCCCAGGCCCTTCTTTGTAGGAAGGCTATAATTCTTGTCCCACTCACATCAAGCTTAGTCATATGACTTGTGTGGATAATGAAATGTGAATTGAAGTAATGTGCCAAATCCAAGAGAAAACTGAAATGGGTTAATAGTGGTATCCTGGCAATTCTATATCCTATCAAATAAAAAATTAACTAATCAATTTACTTAAAATTTTTTAGGGGGGGGACTACTGTGGACTGAACTCAGGGGCATTGGATCAATGAGCCACATCCTAGCCCTATCTTGTATTTTATTTAGAGACAGGGTCTGAGTTGCTTAGTGCCTTGCTGTTGCTGAGCCTGGCTTTGAACTCGAGATCCTCCTGCCTCAGCTTCCCAAACCGCTGGGATTATAGGCATGTGCCACCATGCCTGGCTTAAAAACAAAAAATATACATGACTATATTGTCTGCAGAATTCTTTTTTTTTAATATTTATTTTTTAGTTATAGGTGGACACAATATGCTTATTTTATTTATTTATATGTGGTGCTGAGAATTGCACCCAGGGCCTCAAACATGCTAGGCGAGCGCTCTACCACTGAACCACAACCCCAGCCCTGTCTGCAGAATTCTAAAGATGTTATTAAGAAAACCTATATACAAGAACATAAGGGTAATTTTTATTTCCCTCCAAGTAGTAAGGATTTAACCCAGGACCTCTCACAACATGCTTGGTAAGCACTATACCATTGAGCTATATCCACAGCCCTCCATGGCCATTGTTAAACTAATTCAAAGCACGAAATTRGTTACCATAGAATATAGAAGGCATTTTGTATTGATTTATTATAACATAATAAGAAATATACTTTCAAATCATATAATTTATCAGTAGGATATTGGCATTTAGGCATTTAATTGGTTGTGTGTGAGGGGGTGTACTAGAGATTGGGTGTGGGGGGTGTACTAGAGATTGAACCCACTGGAGATTTTACCACTGACCACATCCCCAGTCCTTTTTTATTTTGAGATGGGGTCTTACTAAGTTGCTGAGAATCTTGCTAAATTTCTAAACTTAGCTTCACAAATTGCAATCTTCCTAACCTTAGCCTCCCAAATGGACAGGATTACAGGAATATAAGCCACCCAGCTTCAAAGCTGGATTTTTTTTTTTTAAAGAGGTCTATTTTTTTTCAGTTGTTGATGAACCTTTATTTTATTTATTTATTCATATATGGTGCTGAGAATCGAACCCAGTGCCTCACATGTGCAAGGCATGCGCTCTACCACTGAGCTACAACTCCAGCCCCAAAGCTGGAATATTTTTTAAGGTCACAATGCATAGCATAAATCCCGGCATTTGTCCTTCTTTCCAATCAAAGACTCTAGATATAACACCAAGTATGTTTCTCCTCTCCTCCCTTCTACCTTTATTACCTTGAGCCCCTCTTCCTTTTTTACTTTCATCTCCCTGATTCCTTCTATCTTTCATTCCAATTCCAATCTTGCTTAGTAGCCTATTTCCTTTTYACCTCCCCCTCTATTCCAACTGCTCAAACCTGCCCCCAAAGGTTATATTCATGCAAATAAATATAAGCCAGAAACATAATGGAACAAATATTTTTATTTTTTAAATATAAAGATCTTTTTGAGTCTTTTGTACCCCTGTATTAATTATTTATCCTTCCTCTTCCCTCATATGCACCCCCCCCACACTGCCTAATTTCAAACCTCAAGCTTCCTAAAGTGGTTAGAATAAAATTCAAATTCTTTAGCTCAACATTCAATTGTCTTTATGAAAGAGAGCTTCTTTAGCTCTCTAACCTTAAATCTTATGACTTTTTCCATGCATATCTTTTTGTTCCAATCTTAATAGTTTTTTTCAATCCCTCAAAAAAAAAAAAAAGAAAAGAAAAGAAAATCACATCCTTTCATGATATATGTTTATATGAGGATCTTTTTGGGCTCAAGTGATCATCCTGCCTTAGGCTCCCAAGTAGCTGGAACTACAGGTGCACGCTACTGTTCCAACCCTTGACTACAGCTTTTAAAATTTCAAATTTTAYATGACCACAAGATGGAGTATATGAAACATCTAAAATTTAGAGATGYCTTAAAGATTAAAAGAAAATTTATAAACTCTCCATATATTTAACAGCTACATATTTTCTTACTTACTACACAAAATCGGAGAAGAGGGTGTTTGCAATGTCAAAGTAGAGCCATCTTTCCTTGTGATATTAACTCGAAAAACCAATCTGGCACGWGTGCTTTTTTTCTTGGAACCAGCAATTCCTATTCTGGCTTCAACATCAGCATTCCTCAACTTCAAAATTCCTACACAGTCCACACTAACACAGAAAAAAATATATTAATTGACATTTTGTTATAACATAGTACAACATTCTTAACCAAACAAGTTTTCTTTTAAATATTTTTTAGTTGTAGTTGGACACAATACCTTTGTTTTATTCATTTTTATGTGGTACAGAGGATCGAACCCAGGGTCTCGCATTCGTGAGGCACGCAAGTTCTACCACTGAGCCACAATCCCAGCCCCAAGTTTTTTTAAGAGTATTTATCTATAAATTCTCTGAACATGTAATATAGTTCCAAACTCAAAAAAACACAGAAGTATAAATTCTGAACATTCATAGTTCCTAATCTTCTCAATATTTTGTTTATAAAATGGAAAAATAGTAGAGATGAAAATCACTATTTTAAAATCTAAACTGAAGTAATCAGTGGCTTATAAGAGCCTATTTCTTTTTCTTTTCCATTTTTTCTCTTTTTTTAGCTTTTTATTATTTTGTGTTCCTATTTTCTTACAATGAATGTTTTCTTTTTTCTTTTTGGTGGTGCTAGGAATCAAAACCATGGCCTCACACATGTTCAACACTTGCTCTACCACTAAGCAGCATCTCCAGTCCCTGTTTTTATAATCAGCACCTCTCTTGCTTTCTTCCTTTACTAAATACATTCACTTTTATAACTTTCAAAAGCTACCAGTCAAAAAAGCAAATCTTAATATTTCTCAATAACTAACCTTTCATCAATCTATTCAAAGCAGCTTTCAAAAGGCAAGTGGTGGAGAGCTTGCCTAGCAAGTATGAGGCAGTAGGTTCAATCCTCACCACCACATAAAAATAAACAAAATAAAGGCATTTGTCCATCTACAACCAAAAAAAAAAAAAAAAAAAAAAGAGGAAACTGAAAACCAAGTAGAGAAAAATCTGTAACAGCTATCTATTACAAATAATTACAACCCAGGTTTGCCCCAAATCAATATATTTACTAGTGGCATGGTTCAATTTTAGGACTAAGGATCTTTTACAAAAAGCTTAAGAAAAAAATAAAAATGTAAATCTTTAATTCTTCAAATATTTTTCAGGCAGTGCAAATGCACAAGACAAAAAAATGCATGACCTTAGGATTTAATTTTTTTTAAATAAAGGAAAATAAAAATAAAAGATGAATTTAGACCAGCAATATGCTTTTCACATCAAAATGGGTCAAGACAACGCATGGTTTATGTTGAACTGTTTCTAAAGCAAACATTAAGAGCAGAATTTAGAAAGGCAAATTGAATTGTCTATGATTTTTATTTTCAATTTTAATATTATAAGTCTTTTTTTAAATAACCTTATTCATATTTATGTGGTACTRAGGATTGAACCCAGGGCCTTGCACATGTAAGGCGAGCGCTCTACCGCTGAGCCATAACCTCAGCCCCAATATTATAAGTGTTAATAAGTAAATATCTGTAATTTTCTAAAAATCCAATATTTCACTTGGTTTTCATTTCCCTAGCTTTCACCACAGCAATTTCTCAGCAAATAGCAACAGAATTAAATTTAACTCATTACCATTCTGTAGTAATTCTTAAAATTTGTATTATGGTTTGAATATGAAGTGTCTCCTAAAAGCTCTTATTAATGCAACAACATTCAAAGATGACATGATTAGATCATAAGAACTATAACCTAATCAGTCCATCCTAGTTTGAAAGGGATGACTGCATGGTGACTGTAGGCCAATAGGGTGTGGCTGGAGGAAGTGGGTCATTCAGGAGGTACCCTGAAAGGGTGCATTCTTCTCCCTGTATTTCTTAGCTCATTCTTTCACAAGTGTGTGCACTCATGTGTACTCTCTTTTTCTGTTTCCTGATCCCACCATGAGTTAAGCAGCTTTCCTCTGCTAGGCTCTTCCCCCATGGTGTGCTGCCTGAAAGCAATGCAATTKCTGTTAGTCCAGAGCAATAGAGTCAGCCATCTATAGACTGAAACCTCTGAAACTGTGAGCCCCCCAAAAAATTCTCTTCTCTAAGTTGTTCTTATTAGATATTTTGGACACAGCAACATAAAAGTTAACTAAAGCAATTTATAATATTTAAAATATTTCAAGAAAATACTTGAAATCTTCTTTTATACACTAGAAACTAAAACTTTGCCCTAAAATGAAAGTGTAACATACAATGAAAACTTTTTTTTTTAAGTTGTTGATGGACCTTTATTTTACTTATTTATATGTGGTGCTGAGAATCGAACCCACTGGGCCTCACTCATGCTAGACAAGCGCTCTACCACTGAGCTACAACCCCAGCCCTGAAAACATTCTTATTTTTTTTATTTTTATTTTTTTGTGGTGCCAGGGATTGAACCCAGAGCCTTGTGCATGCAAGGCAAGCACTCTACCAACTGAGCTATATCCCCAGCCCTGAAAACATTCTTATTAAGTACTTACGCAAGTGTCATGTTGTTGCTAGGATCAAGGCCAACTTCTATAACAGTGGTGCCTTCAATGTCCACTTCTTTGCAGGGAGTTGTATTTCGTCCAGTTACCCTGCAGGCCTGATAAAATCCATGTGGTTTCACTCGGCCAGAGTCATTGCCCACAAACACCTGCAACACTACTGGTTCATTATGGCCTTCCAGCTGGAACCAGATAACATGTAGCAGAAACACTAATTAACATTTCAAGTAAGGTAATTATAAAATATAATATTTAAGCCCTAATTCTGTATTTGTAACTGGATTAAAGAAATAATTTAAATCCTCAAGAAAAACAGAGGTAAAATATTTTTATAATGGAGAGTTGGCTAAGTTTCTGCAGAAAACGGTAGTTTTAATTCACAATAACTACATTTCAATTAAAAAATTTAGAATGGTAGAAGATCTAAATTATCATTTGAAACTTACTTGTACCAGCAGATGAAAATGAACACACACTCCTTTTGATAACATATAGTTACTCAGGATATACCACCATCATTCATAGAAAACTGTATTATGGGGCTGGCTTTGTAGCTCAGTGGTATAGCACTTGCCTAGACCATGTGAGGTACTAGGTTTGATCCTTAGCACCACATAAAAATAAATAAAATAAGGTTTCTGTATCTATCTACAACTAAAAAATTAAAAAACTGTATTGTGTTAGTGGCATCATTTTCATTATCAAATGAGTATATGTACTAAATTTTTACTAAAGCCGTTAAAAAAAAAAAGTGYTTCAAGTGCAGCTGAATAAATAATATGGAAATGAAGCCCATTTTCAAAGACGAGGTATACATATACATGCATGCATATGTGCATGCACACACACACACATATACACACACACACCATCATGAAATTCTGGGACAAAACACATCCAGAAAAACTAGCTAGTTCAAACTAGAATTCATGGATCATTACAGGTCTCTAGAAAAAGTTTTCATAAATTATAATAAATATTTAAAATCAGAATAAATATTTAAAATCATTTGAGAGCAAATATTTCCAATCTCAATTCTTGATAAGGCTTTTAGTTAAACACTAAAGCTGATGATACAGAACACAGAAAATCACAAAGTAATTTGTACTACATACACTAAAGTGCTTTAAAAAACTTGTACGTTTTTTCTGTCCTAGTATAGTGGTATATTTGTGAAATTATAGTCATATGAGGCAAATAATCAATCAAATAATAAAGTACTCAAATTGATAGTAAGTGCTAACATGTAAAGGGATGCAATATTTGTTGAATGAATAAATAAATAAACTTTTAAGGTCAGTCTATTCATTCTCTATCATAGACAAGAGGACTAACATCTAACTAGCTAAGTACTTAGAAAAGCATAACTTAAAAGTCAAGGCAAACAGGTTTTTAAAACCATTGACCAAACTATTGAACTGCTGAACTGTCTGACCACACAAATATTTATCCAATGAATAACTCAAATTTATCATTTGCTGGTTACTTGTCCTTGGTTTGAGGACTGAGGGATGAATTAGGGAGGAGCCAAGATTAAGTAAAGATGATATTGTACATRTGACTATTAATCAACCTTACAAAATGGTCACAGGCAAATTTCCTAATTCTGAGTATCAACCATAATTTCTTTCAAGCATAAAATGAAAGGTAACCCAATTCTACTCTAATCTTGAAGTAGAGTTCACCTAACATGTTCATACAAATGGTGTTTAATAAGACTTTTCATGTAACTAGCCAAATTTCCCCTCAGTACAGTATTTTGCAAGGGGTAGGGACAATTGTTAAAACATCCCTCATTTTTTGCTTATTTTATGTTCAAAGAGACTTTCTTCTTTCTCTATTTTTTTTTGTTGTTGTTGTTGTTGTTGTTGACATTGTAGGAGTTTTGAGCCCAGGGCAATTTACCACTGAGCTACTTCCACCGCACCTTCTCCTTCTTCTTCTTTTTTTTTTTATAATTTTTTTTTTTTCAAAGAGAGTGAGAGAGAATTCCCAATATTTACTTTTTAGCTTTCGGCGGACACAACATCCCTGCTTGCATGCGGTGCTGAGGATCGAACCCGGGCCGCACGAATACCAGGCGAGCACGCCACTGCTTGAGCCACATCCCCAGCCCTTTTTTAAAATTTTGAGACAGGGTCTCACTCAAACTTGTTATTTTCTTGTCTCAGTCTCCCAAAGCACTGGGATTACAGGCAGGCACCACAGTGCCCAGCTAGAACTATTCTTTATATCAAGATATCCCAGTCAGGCCTGTAGTACACGCCTGTAATCCCAGTGGCTCCGGAGGCTGAGGCAGGAGGATGGCAAGTTCAAGGCCAGCCTCAGCAAAAGCGAAGTGCTAACCAACTCAGTGAGACCCTGTCTCTGAATAAAATACAAAATAGGGCTGGGGATGTGGCTGAGTGGTTGAGTGCTCCAATTCCCAGTACCAAATAAAAACAACAACCAACACACAACCCAGGTGCTGAATTTAAACCTTTTTTTACTTTTAATCTTTTTTACTTTATAATTTTTTTTTTTTTTGGTACTAGAGATTTAACTCAGGGACACTCAACCACAAGCCATATCCTCAGCCCTATTTTTGTATTTTGTTTAGAGACAGGATCTCATTGAGTTGCTTAGCACCTCACTTTTGTTTAGGCTGGCTTTGAACTCACAATCCTCCTGCCAAGGACTCTGGAGCCACTGAGATTATGGGCTTGCGCCACCATGCCCAGCCAAAAAATTATTACTATTTAATTTACAACCTATTTTTAAATTAAGACTTATTACAAATAACCAACTCTTCTAGGTTGAATAGTTCTGATTACTTTAGCCATCTCAAAAGTCTTATTTTCCAAGTCTTTAATAATACCCATTATATCTTTGCATTCACTTTAAAATTTCTGCTTTAATATAAAATTTGGRATGAATTTAAATCCAGTGTAAATTTTAAGAGAAAGATAATTCATGATTTATAGATATTTTACTTTTGAGAACATAGTCTCACCTTTCATTCAGACTAACACTCAAATGGTATCAATGTGATATTTGGTTTAAGGTCCAATTAGCCTTTTACTCTGTTTTCAATTATATATATATAGATAATAATTCTAATCTTCTGTTTTAGACAGCTTTTGCTGGAGTTAAAAACAAAAAAAAATGGTAAAACTGGAGAAAATTCTTCATACATTACTAAATAAAATAAACACCTTTACTGTAGGAAAGCCTTGCTGTGTTCTATCTTTTACTGAGCCACGACTTCCCTCAGTCAGGTACCGAGCTCGGTGCTGGGTCTCAGGTTGTACAACTATCTTCAGCTCCTTTCCTTCACTTTTAACTGGATACTGTCCACACAACATAGGGCTCTTCTTTACTCCAGTTCCTTTTTGGTTGTCCAATGTTCTGAGAAATTGAAGCACAACATGAAGAACATATCAAAAACGGTTTTCTATAAAACTAAGATAAAGGAAGAAACAGAACAGGCAATAACACTTAAAACAACTGCTTAGCTTACTGACAAAGTACAGCCTAAAAGAAGGTACATTACATAACTAAAGTATCTTCAAAAAATTTTCAACAAAATTTAACTGTGATGTAAAAAAGAAAGTTGGACAAGAAAAAGAAAGAATGCATGTGACCAGCTGGAAGAAGGAGGAAGATTGCATACAATAAACTATGATCCATACTTACACACTTCACTCAAAATAAAAATTTTTAAAAATTATAAATATATGTGAGTTCCTAMATATAGTTAAAAGTAACTATCATTACTCTCTTATCAGACTTCCAAAGGGGGTGAAAAAGAAAAATGAACAGGAGCAGCAAAAGACAAAACTAAACCAAACCTCCAATACACATACACATACAGAGCCCAAAACAACAATGACAGTATATATAGCATATTCTTTTGAATCTCTTTCTCAGTAAGTCAAAATGATAAAATTAGAATTTAAAAAATCAGTGATTAAATTTTTAATGGGAAATTACTTTGCTCTAAATAGTATTTCCTAGAAGTATGGTTTTTCAGGGTATTTTTATTTACTTAAAATGATTAAAGCTCTCAATAAAAATGTTATAATCTGGGCTTTATAGCATCAACAATCTAACTTCATAAAATTGTGCTTTAAAAAATTTTTGTTAATAATGCATTTGTTATGTGTAACTATGTTAAAAAAATATTCCAAATAGTGGTTAGGCTAGCATATATAATCTGTAAAGTTGCTAAATCACTGCAAATATGTAATGAAAATAAGAAGAAAACAATACTGTTAGATATTTTTTTCTTTTGAGCAACATAAAATGCATTTAAAATTATCCATGTATATTTTTAATTAGTCAGGGTATATAATACTTTTTGACTCGAATTGAAGGTTCAGAAACCAGAAGACACAGAGGACAACATCTCCTCCAAAAGTAACCAGATCCCAGGAGGAATATTAGGACTTCAAACACAGAAGAACTAAACAGCCTTAAAACTCTTTTAATGTCTACCCAGAGGGCGTAACCAAGTTGTTGTCTCAATCATTGAGAACAAAGGAAAGAAAGGCAGTACCCTCAAAAGAAATGAGGACAGSGTTGACAAGCCCCTTGGCTAGGAAATGGGCAGAAGAATGAAGAAAGCAGCAATGGAACTGACATAGAAATGCTGTAAGAAATACAGTAAAAGGAAGAGTTCTCAGGGCAAGTGCTGTGCTTAATTGTCAGGTTCAGGTACTGAACAAATGTTTGTTGATAAAGGCAAATAGGAAGAAGAAATGCACAAAGAAAGGAAAGCAGAGGATCCTAACTGGACAAGGAATGCCATTCATGTAAGTTTGACATAATGAACTTGAAGATTACCTGTGTAAGTCATTTTAAAAGGCCCTGGAAGAATACATTCTATGAACAAGAGGATCAAGTTGAAGCTGGAACAATGGGCAATAAACCCTGCTTTTCTTTTCATCATTCTGGATAGAAATTCAAACATTTGGTCTGAATAGTATAAAATTCCTTGCAAATGAAATTCTATAATAATACTGTTTTATATTCATCTTACTATTAAATAAAAAATTCATTTATTAAAATATATAAAACATCCCCCACATATACACACAGAGGGACTAACGAATAATAAAGCTGATTTACTAGATTATTCACTATTTTCTTGTATTTTCAAATATTTGTAATTTATATCTAGCAATTCTATAATAAAAAAGGGAAAATTTTAGTTGGAAATATAAAGAAAATGAGTATGACGTTAATTAATTTGTCCAGTATAGGATTTTATGTTTACTTAAGCTAGTCAAGTTTGAAATGTAAGGGTAAATAAATGGAAATAAGTGTTACTAGTCTAGAAAAACAAAATACCTTATTTGGGATGCAGACTGGTGAGTGAGTTAACAAAATATATATAATAAGGCTTGAAGACAAATAGCAGGCACTCATAGTGGTGCATGCTTGTAATCCCTGCTACTCTGGAGGCTGAGGCAAGAAGATCAAGTTTGAGGTCAGCTTCAAAAATTTAGCAAGACAATGTCTCAAATAAAAATAAAAAGTGCTAAGGTTGTAGCACAGTGCTTAGAGTGTCCTTGAGTTCAATACCTAGTAGGTTGTTTGGGTGGTTAGTTGTATAGCCCTTGGCTAGCATTTGTGAGGCTCTAGGTTCCATCCCCAGTACCATAAAAGGGGAAAAAAATGTAAGCACATTGAATTAAGCAATTTCTGAAATGACAGTTTTTCTCAAAACTTGTTTATATCTCTTAAGTTTAAACAAAAAATATACATATTTAAACCTATAGGGCTGGGGATGTGGCTCAAGCGGTAGCGCGCTCGTCTGGCATGCGTGCGGCCCCGGTTCGATCCTCAGCACCACATACCGACAAAGATGTTGTCCGCCGGGAACTAAAAATAAATATTAAAATTCTCTCTCTCTATCCTCTCTCACTCTCTCTTAAAAAAAAAAAAAAATTCTCTGTCCCCCCCTCTCTCGCTCTCTCTTAAAAAAAAAAAAAAAACCTATAGACACGTAAAACAATGAAAACATTAACTGATTCTTGAAGTCATTACAATTTTTAAGGCACAGTGGCTTAAGCAAAAATAAGAAAGTAGCAATAGTTATATGAAATTTTACCTACCCCCCCACCCCCACATTTGGTGATGCTGGGGATTGCATCTAGGGCCTCTCCCATACTAGAAGAGCACTACGATTCTTGGACTACACTCTAGGTTGATATTTTATTTTATTGTTATTTTATTCAAAATAACAACTAAAAAAAGAAAATCCACTGTTCTGACWATTGTTGCATATTCTATTCAGGAGTCTTAAAATGACATTCTTTTTCCCTTGTGCCAATCTTTTTTTGTTATCTTTGACACAAAAAATAATTTCCACTGTAAAATGCCTAAAATAGGTTTCATAATACACGGCATCACATCTTAAACTTCTCAGGAATAGTTAGAAGAGATATGGACTACTGATTCTCAAAACATTTAGTTGAATTTCAACATGATATGGCTAGCAATATTTAAATACTGAAGAGCTTTTTAATAAGTTTGTTTTTACAAACTCTTAACATTTTAGTTATAAAAAATGGTATTTCCATTTTTATCAAGATTTCTATCTTGAAGGTCAATAAGCTACAATGTATTCCAAAGAACATTTTTTAAATACTTAGTATTATATGAATTGCAAATTATAGCACATTAATTCTAAGGCTATATAATTTACCTCTCAAAACATTTTAAAATTTCATATTTTTAACATCTTTTTCGTTATTGAAGAATATGGGTTACCAGCTTGGGATGCTCTGAAAAACTGTTTTCAAGGCCCATTTTTCCATACATTTTATATATGGCTTCATCCTTTCCTCCTATAGTTCTTATAAATTCAAATTTTAAACTTCTTCATCATTTCCATATGCTAGTGTCAAATAATTTTCCATTACCTAAGAAGCTGGACATTTCTTCTTCTGCTTGATGGAGTTTCTGCTCCATGAATTATTTCATGAAAGATTTTGTCTTGACCAATGTCATTACACTTTCCCTGGRTAACCTCAAATCATTTCTAAGATATATCTATCATACAAAAGCAGAAGCAAAAAAGATGTAGGTCAAGTTCTCTTTAATTAGCAACTGCAAATCACTATGTTAACTATCCCTAAGTCAAATTTTTATTTTCTCTTCATGTGGAATTTTAACATCTCTTCTAGTATAAATATGAAAATCTCTCACTGGAACTTTATGAGACCTTCTCCATTGAAACCCAAATAAATATATGTACATATATTTAATGATTTTCATGAACCTTTTAGATCTGTGCTACTAGTCACATTTACTTAAATGATGTGTGATATTCATTGTTTTAGTGCCTTATTCTCTATATAATATTTCTACAGTTATTATGTTCTGAATCTGTTAAATGGCAACATTTTAGGAAAGGATACACCTTGCTTCTTTTAGGAAATTCCCTAAACTATACTTTTTCTAAAATGGAAAAGAACTTTTATTAAACTATATCACTCCGTAGGAATATTAAATTAAAAAACTGTAAAAGAAATCAATATATTAATTCTTGCTTCAATGATGGATATTACTTTTTAAGTGTACAAAGGGAATATTTAAGGAAAAGTCTAAACATATCAAGAATATTCTCTATAAYAGTCAAACAGATTTTTAATGAGATCAATGATATCATCATGTGGGAAACCAATCTAATGTTTCTGGGCAGCTATTTGTGACAAACTGAAATTGTAAGGGATTATGGGTCAATGAAAGGATCATAATCATGTCTCTGCCTCCCAAAAATGCAATTCTTAAAATCCAGTGAGTTAAATTTTACTAAACTATGTTGAATAAATTGTAGGAAAATTTAATTTTAAAAATCTAGCAGCTAAATTTTATAAATTAAAGTACTAAAAAAAAAGTTTAAAATAAGCCATACTAGTCTGTATTATAGCAGTGAGTACCCTGTAACGTAGCTATTGAAACACATTTATTTAGTGAGAAGTATGAACTGGCATGAATGAACAAAAACTCAGAATGTATACCATGATCCTGTTACAGTATCTTCTAATAAGTTATCCAGAATCACAGAAAAAGTAGTCGTGATTTTCTTAAAAAAATAAATAATAATCCTGAATTGACATAACTTATCCAAGAAAAAAAGTTTAAAACATACGAACCTCAATGACTAGAATCAAATCATCAATTTAGTTTTTTCTAATTTTCATCAAGTAAAAAAGGGGGGGGAGATAAAATCTAAATCCTCTCAAAAATGTAATGGAGTGAACCATATTAASATACAATCTCAAAGAGAACACAAATTATCTTTTGGAGAATGTTTTTGTATTGGTTTAGTTAGAGTCATTACACTGCTACTTATGTCAATAAGTAAAAATATTTTAAAATTCTTTTAAAATACAAATTCATTTGAAACTTAGAAGTTATTTCAAAACAGATTATTGGTATTTTCTACTACCTATCCTCATAYTAATATACCTAAGGCTATACTGTTATTTTATTTTCTCTCTAGTAAAACTTGATAAGTTTAAGTTAAAATTTTCATGTATTTCAATGATAAAATTAGCACCTCTGCTTTATATGCAAACTTGAGCTGAGCAATTAAGTTGGGAATGATTTATTTTTTTGTTTTGCATAATGGTGATAGAACTTTAAAAAATGTGAATACCAACCCATTTCCAGCTTTTGAGTTGCCTTTGTTGTCCGTGGTAAGCTGAGAAAGCACATAGTGAGGTGCTTTGGCACTGTCGGCATCAAATATATCCATATTAGATTCTTCACAATCTCGTCGTTTGACCCCCGGCCTCTGCTTTGGATTTCGTTTTCGTGATTTACGAGGTACCTCAGTGTTATCATTGTAGGAACTGGTGCTCATGTTACTGAAGTTGGAGGGGGAATCCTCCATCCACATACTGCAGCTCTGCTCAGATTCCAATCCACACCCCTCATCCTGGCAGGACATCCGACTGTTATCCAGCAAGTCCTCGGGTGGTGGTGAGATGTACAAAACTGTGTGCCTCTTCGGGGTTGATGGATGCTGCTGAACTGTGTTACTGGTTAACTGCTTTTCACTTACCCCTCTGTTACTTACCCCCACGGCTGAGGAGCAGCTCTCCACTTGCATAGCCTTGCTGTCGGTGACTGAGGTAGAATAAATGGTAGGGCTGGAAGAGGTGGTAAAGGAGCTGCAAGCACCGCCCATGGAGGAAGAGGAGGGAGCTGAAGAAGCATCTGCAGTGTATAATTCAAGAGTAAATATACTATACATGTTTTCACCTATGCTGGCTAGCAGTCCCATTGAATATGTGATTTGTGAACTGATTGTTTTTCCCCAAAATGAATGATTGGAATTTGGTAACATTTTAGAATATAAATGCTTCAAGCAATACAAAGCCTAAGAAATGAATTTTTTAAAATGTCCAAATAGCATTATTTTACTTGTGTTATAATTGATAAAATTTTTAAATCTAATTTAATGTTTTAAGCTGTAAAGCAAGAATAAAATTTTTTTATTGCCTCAGCTGGTCGTTCTGTTGAATTTTAATCAGTTAAGGTAATAAAGAAACCCCAACATGAAATATATGTTTGTGGTCCACATTCAATGCCAATTAAATAATTCATTAAAGAATTTGAAAAGTGGGACTGTGCTTAGCCACAAAATATTAAAATAAGTTTCTAACCTATGAAGCAGAGAACTACAGGTCATTTTTAATGCAGACACTCCCTGCTTCAGAGGCAAATCCTGGAATAAAAATATGAGAAAATAAATGAGAAGAGCTGCTGATTATTCCAGATATCAATTATAAAATGAAAAATAAATAGAAAAAAATATATAATCAACTGAATTGGAGACAAAATGGAACTGGTACCATCACTATCATTGGATGTAAAATCTAGAAAAATAAAGTGAAAAAGGTTTGATTTGGAACATGCCAGGTTGTATAAGAAAAATCAGTTAACCATTGAGAGTCTACAGAAGATGGAAGTGACAGTTCAAAACCATGAGCTCTAAAAGACAGAGATCCATCACTTAAGATGCATGAAAAGCATAGTAAGGGCTGATTAGTAGATGGATTTCTTGTACAAAGTACTTGATTATGTGCTCAAAAATTGGTTAACACTGTCCATTTCCTTACCCCTTCCCTTTAACGATCCTGCTTATTTGGAACTATTAAAAAAATTCCTAATAAAAATGAACAATTGGCTGAAGTCTTAACAAAAAAAGGGTAAAGTATAAAAATCTCTGGAGAGCATCAGAATTAATTCCTATAAAAAAAGTTTTTTTTTAATTAAACTGTTTATCAATTCACCTAGCAAAAAAGGTGATTTAGTAGATATTTTCAGACTGTGAGACAACTGGCACTCATACTGAAAAGATACTACAATTGTAGCTTTTAAAAAGCATAACCTTAGAGTCACACTATTTTGTTAGGTTGGCAGGTGTTACTGGTAAAATTTTACAAATACCAATTTATCTTGTACAAGATATGGAAAGGTTTATAACTGTGCACCTCAAAAATAAAAATAGGTCATGTGATGGACAACTTAAAAGATGTTTAAATCTAAAATTAATTTGTATCCATAGTCATCAATGTCACAGTTTTAAAGTATACTTTAAAATTCAAAACTGTGATGTATCATTAATGAAATTATAATATCCATATCAATTATAAAGAGTAAATTGTAAGAATGCCAATATTTAGATACTCAAAAGTCAAAGATCCATTTTTTTTTTCCTTCAAAATCTCTTTTTTATTGAAAACATGTTTCAAGCCAAACATGGTAGTACACCCTTGCAATTCCAGCTACTTGAGAGGTAGGAGGATTGATGCCAGTGTGGGCAACTTAATGAGACCCTGTCTCAAAATAAAAAAATAAAATAAAAAGGACTAAGGATGTAGCTCAGTGGTAGAGCACCCCTGGGGTCATTCCCCAGTGATACTTCCCCCACCAAAAAAAAGAGAAAGAAAATATGTATCAAAAACACTTAAATTATTTGAAAGAAGTACAACCACCCAGAATTTTTCATTGTTGTCAAGACTGAAGTGCACAGTAATTAATATTGGCCACAGAATGTGATCAATTATAATTCCACATTGAAATACTTTACCCAACTACAATTGCGCCAAAAAACCTAAGTAACTAGACGATACCAGTTCCATTTTCCTGTTTGTATCCTTGTCAAATGCAGTAGCTGAAATTAGAAAATTCAGTCACTTTTAAACTGCATTCCAATTTAAAGAAAAATTTGTCAATTTTGTATCATGCATTAATGCAATGTTTTCTTAGTAATAAATATTTTAAGATTTGTAAAAACTACAAAATCTAGATGCTAATGTCAGTGACAGTTTAGGAGCTGATTTGTAGCCACTTTGGGTTTAAATATAAAGTTTTTCCATTGCTTTTTGAAAAATACTACAAAACTCATTTTAGAAAAAAAAATAGAAAAAATATGTCTAACATTGCTCCATCTGTTCCAACTATTGGCAAAAATTATTTTTTTGTGTGTGTATGGCCTATATTCTTAATGCTCAGAAAAATACAAGTAGGCAGCATGCAGTATTTGCAGTAGAAGACACAAAGCATGCAGCATGAATGTGGTGAACCYGCATTTCTATAAAATGGCTTTACCCCACCCATTCTTTTTTAATGTGTCATGCACATTACAGGGCAGAATATGAACATCACAGGATCCCTGTCCACAAGTGGAAAGCATATGCGAAAAACAATGAATTCAAAAGCAAGTTATGTGGCTGTGATATATATTTGTGTGTGTGTGTGTGTGTGTGTGTGTGTGTGTGTTTTCATCCATAGTTCCTGACTTATGGCTCCTAAAACTCCTGTAATTTCCTAAGTGGTAGAATAATAAAAAGTACCTTAGGTTAAAGTTACAGTCTTTTGTTTGAGAGTGATAAAAATGAAAGGTAGTGCTATGTTATTTATACCAAGCTCCATTCTGCCACTCCTGAGTTTTTATTAATAAGGTGATTTTTTTCAAAGTTTCTAGATAAACACAGGATTGGGGCAGAGGGGACAGCTGCCTAGAGAACCCACCAAACGCTTGTAGGGTGCCGGAAGAACTCAACAATTTCATTCTCCCGTCACCAGTGAGGAGAGGGCACTGAAGTTTTCATGAATAGTCAATTACTTAATCACGTCTACATAATAAAACTTCCATAAAAATCTAAAAAGACTGTTCCAGGGGCTTCCAGGAAGGTGAAAAATACATCCTTGAACCAGGAGAGGCACACCTAAATTCCACAAGGGCCAAAGCTTTTTTTTTTAGCTCAATATTCTTCCAAACCTTACTCTATGTATTTCTTCATCTGCTACTCATTTATGTCCTTTAAAATATCCTTTATAATAAACCAGAAACACAAGGGTATGCACAAGTTCTGTGAGCCACTATAGCAAATTAATTGAACTCAAGGAGGGAATCAATAGAATATTGATCTACAGTCAGAAGCCAAAATTTTATTTATATAATTATTAAGTTAAATTGACAAATAAATGTAAATTGAAGAAAAAAAGACTTACTAGTCAAAGCCCTTCAAGCAYATAATATCACAACAGCATTATCTGATATAGTAAAAAAACTAATAAGAGTTTAAAGGCAATTGCTATTTCTACAGAGTGTACCAACAATTTTCTTCTTTTAAACTACATATAAGCCAAATTACCTACTTGTATATTAACCCATAAATTTACCATAAATAAAAATATCTTTAATTCTATCCTATTTAAAATATAAATATAGTAGGATGCAGTGGTGCCTGCCTTACTGTAACCCTGGCAGCTCTGGAGTCTGAGGCAGGAGGATCAGCAACTTAGCGAGGCCCTGAGCAACTAAGGAAGATCCTGTCTCTAAGTAAAACATAAAAAAGGACTGGGGACGTGGCTCAGTGGTTAAGCTCTCCAGAGTTCAATACYCCCCCCACCCAAAAAAATTTTTTTTTCAAGGCCAATCTCAGCAATTTAGAGAGACCCTGTCTCAAAAATTAAAAAATAAAATAGTGTAAAGCACCCCTGGGTTCAATCCCAGTATTTACTAAATTAATATATAAATGAATAAATGGAAAAGTTACAGAATGATATCAAGAACATTTTAGATTTCTAAACAATAATTGTAAATTTACTTAAAATATTGCCAGCCTCAGCAACTTAGTGAGCCTTTGTCTCAAAATACAAAGTTTAGGGCTAGGGATGTAGCTCAGTGGTAGAGTGTCACTGGCTTCAATCACCAATAGCAAAAAAACAAACAAACAAAAAAAAAAACACAAACAAAAGCTATCTATCTATAAAGAGTTTTCACTAATTATATTACTAAATAAAATAGCATTCTATGGAACTAAAAGCTAACATAATCCTGCCCCATCTATATATTCTTTATTTATAAGTTCCTATAAACAAAAATCTAATTACTTCTTCCCCTTTCACCTTTTTGATGCTGGTCTTTATATCTGTTAAGAATGTGGAATCTACATTTAATTGATGCATCTTAAAAATATAATTCCAACATAAAAATGTTTTAATRATTGTTTTTATTTCCTCATTGAGCAGAATAATTAGTGTATTTCTGCTTCATAACTTCATAATTTCATTTGTTTCATTTGCCAATCCTTTATAAACCTAAGAGTTTTTCTTGACGTTTTTCTTAAAATTATTCTCTTATTTAAGTAGCATGCGAATGTTTATTTTTTTCTTTTGAAAAATAATTTCTTTTGAGAAATAATTATCTTTGAAATAATTTACATAGAATAATTTTATTTTTCCACAGCATTTTCTGCAACCCCAGAAGATAACATGAACCAAAAGGAATACTGACAGACCAATCTATAATTTACTAATAAAAATTTATAATCTCAGAAGAATAGATTAATGCTTAAATTTAAAAGGGAAGGGAAGCATTATACGTACAGTATCCTATATTTAAGTCTAACAATTTCAATATTAGCAGTAGCCAATTATCACACCAAATCCTAGTAATAATGGTGAACTTGAATTAAAAACATAGCTTCTTTTCAGAAGTGGTAGAGCTACACTATCCAGTGTAGCTCAATGGTAAAGTGCTTTCCTAGCATGTATGAGGCCCCAGGTTCTATTCCTAGCACCAAGGAAGGAAGGGTTCCAGGGATGGAGATAAACTGATGGAATCAYTAAGGTTCACTCTGAATATTGAAAGTAGCTGGAGGGGGATATACAGATTATATCTACATGGTCTACAAGGATAT